TTGTTGTACTTTTTGTTTAAATTTTACAATTCTTCACCTCCTTATCCTACACATCCTGGCTCTTAACTCCTTTCTTATAAACTACACGCATCCTTTAAATCCACTAGTTGGATTTGAACACCATTCTACAAAAGATGAACTCCTACCGCTAATTTAGATAAAAATTGTAGTTTTTGTTTTGAACTTAAGATAACCATACTATGATTTACATTTTGTGTTGCATACCTGTGAAAGTTATGGTCTTAGATATATTTGTAAGAGAAATATTAGTAACAACTGTTAATTTGCTGCATGGAAGAATATTGAGTTAGGGTGGGATGGAACCAAAAAGGGTCATTTGTTGAAACAAGAACAAACATATATATATATATATATATTTATTGCAAAGAACATGTATTCAAATCAACATGCATTTAGCTTGAAGATTGAGCTATGAAAAGAATGGAAGAAAATGACACGTGATATAGGGTTTTTTTAGTATGTGAGCTTATATTTTTTATCCATTTCATAGTTTAGAATAAATTGATGATCGAGTTACATTATAAGGCAACTATTTGGAAAACATAATCTACCATCTAACCATTTACTAATATCACCAAAGGTAATTTCACAATCTTTGTCATTGTGGAAGGATAAGTTATGGAGAAACATACTTTATATGGCTGCTATTATTGATTTCAAGCTTCTCACGTCGACAAGATATGGAGATATTTTCAGGGCATCTGGGTTGAATAAGTATTTTAAATAATCATGATCATCTTTGACATTTAGCAATAAAGTTAATGTATTCCTTAAGTTAAAAGGTTGTTATCGATAACAATAGTATGCTTAAAAAACTTGTATATATCAAACATGTGGGCTGAAATCAGTGCCAATTTCTTGCAAGATAGTAGAAGATAAGTCATTGAGGGCCAAGCTTTTGCTCTCTTCCTAAGCAAGTAAACTAAATATAATTGTCTATAAAAGCTTTCACTTTTATTAATTTATATGAGTTCAAAACCAACATATCCAAACAAACCATGGCTTCCTCCTTCACTCACTTCTTTCTTTTAAGCTTGATTTTCTTGAAGACCTCGTTCTTTCAACTATCCTCACATTAACAACTGTGTCGTAATGATGCGTATCTTGCTCTAATGCAATTTAGAGACAGCTTTGTCATTGAAAGTCACGCCTCTACAAATCCATCTACTTATCCTAGAGTCGATCCCTGGAAATCTCAAGGGGCTGATTGCTGCTCATGGGAGGGCATATGGTGTGACCAAACCACTTCTCATGTCATAGGCCTTGATCTCAGTAGTAGTTGTCTTTTAGGTTCCATCAATTCTAGTAGTAGCCTCTTCCACCTTAGACACCTTCAAGACCTCAACTTCGCACTTGATGCACTAAAATTACCCTAACAAATGTACTAGTTGCTCTAAATAATATAATGATGAGAAGAGTATCGAACCCACAAGGATTGTGTTTAATTAAGTATGAAAAAAAATTAAACAATAGAAAAGAAAGAAACTTTAATTAAAAATAATAAAAGGAAAATAACAATTAAAATAAAACTAATTAAGATATGAGGTACTAAGATATTGATTTCACTATAATCAATTAATATAAATTTTGAATTAATATGCTTCCAATACCAATTTGTTGAGTGTTATTGCATGTGAAGGTGGATTTTCCTAAATTAACTAATTTTCTTAAGTCAAATTAATCATCACTTGTTTGTTAAATTAATCATATCTCTATACAATTTTAAACAAACTTATGAGTATCAAATTCTATAAAAGCTTCTAGCTTAGGAAGAGGGAGCTCTTAACTCTTTCTCTTCCTCCACTAACACATGTGATGTTAATTACTTTTCAGTTTTATAGTCTAACACATAATTTGTATTATTATTTGTCTAATTTATGCAATTTTTTCTTACGTAATTTATGCAATTTTTTCTTAAGTTCATGCATAAATCACTAAATTAATTAAAAGGTGATCAGGTTTTCAATATATTAAGTTCAATAATCTAAATTTATCATATAAATAATTTTAATTGAAAGTATAAAAATAGAAAAAATTTATATTCAATTGATTAGGTTATATTGTAAACTTAATAAAATAAATTAGTTCATAATAAAAATAATAAAATCTAAAATCATAATTATGAATATAAGAATATAAAAAAAGAATAAAATCCAATTTGAGGAAATTGAAATTCTTGATCTCTTATTGTTGATGGATCTTTTATTTTGATCTCTAAGAATACCCAAAAGATAGCTGCCACCAGCCTCTCAAACTTTCTTAATTATGAACTTAGATAAACATTTATAGGATTTTAGAAAATCTAATTGGAATGAAAGTGGAACCCACACCAAAATAATAAGCCAGCTATGGATTTGCTTTAAATTGCACAAGGAATCATCACCTTCAACTAGGTGTGGACACCTTCTGTTAAGCGCACAAACGCGCCCCTCCCCCCCCGCCCCATCGAGTTTTTGGCCTTCCGAGCAATTTCTGTTAATGGTAAAATGACAATTTTGGTACTTAACTTTTGAACTCCGCACAACTTAATCCTCATGTTTTTGATCTCCACAATGTGCTCCTAAAATTATAATTTCTTCTAATTAAGTCCTTTCCTACATAAATAATGAAAATTATGTAAAATTAAGTAAAATCTCATAAAACTAATCCAATATCAATCATATAAAGGTAAAAATTTCACATTAATATATATATAAATTCAACTCATTAGCACTCAATGACTTCAATTTTTCAAAGATACCAGTTGCAATGGGTAATCTTTCTAGGTTAACTTATTTCAACCTTTTTGGTTCTTTTTTTTCTGGTGAAATTCCACATGAAAGTTCAAAACTCTCCAAGTAAGCTAAGCTTGACCTTTCTTTCAATTTGGATTATTTACATCAATGATCGTTGGAACTCAAACGTCCTAATTTGAATAGCTTAGCTCAAAACTTAAGCAGGTTAGAATGGCTTTACCTTTCTTTAGTTAGTATAAACTCTCCCATACCTAAACTGGGCCTTTGGGACCAATGTTTCGACCCCAAACTTTAAGTACTTGGGTGAGGTGGTCGAAGTTTCGAGCTCCACTATCGTCATGAACTCCATCAAAAAGCGGCCTGATGGTCGCGCGCCTCATTTGAAGGGATGAAATGTTCATCCAGTCTAAGAACTAGTTGTTAACAACTAATTTCTACTAACTTTCTAATCATTACTCTTGTCAAAAAAAAAAAAAACTCTCCCATACCTAAGACCCTGGGAAATATGTCATCGTTGACATATCTCCATCTTGGTCAATAATATGGATTGCTTGAAAAGTTTCCAATAAATCCACAGGGAAACCATTAATTTTTTCACTTTGCTTTTTTTTTTTTTCTCCATTAATAAATATACATATTTAAAATATAATAAATATATTTGTTTATATGTTAGAAAAATAAAAATTAATTTTTTAATTTATCAATCTTCAATTAAATTCATTTATTTAATAATAATATTGAAATTAATAATTTTTACATTTTTATATTAATTTATAATAAAAAAATATCATTAACATGAGCAAAAAACCATTTTTTTGTTACATATAATAAAAAATTAAACTCCTCAGGGCACAAATCACACATTTTATAATTATTGATAAAATAAAAAAATTTTAATATGTAAGAAATTTTTATAATAAATTTAATTAA